GACTCCAACTCAAAAAAAAAAAATAAAAGAATTTCAAATCTGGAAAACCTGCATGTTATGTATATTAACTTGCAAAATAGCCAAATTAAGACATTAAAACATGTCTTTTAAAAAAATTTTTTAAATTTTATGTTATTAAGCTAAACTTTAAATCACTGAAGTTTCATTTCTATTCACCTGAGTGCTTTTTCCTCTAGATACACATTTTTTCAGATAACTTTACTATTTTTTAAAACCCCCCCAAAGTTTTTCTCTATGTGACAGTCTTGTCTGCCAATTTAAAAATGGTCTGGGAAATAAGTTGAATTGTTCACATTTTTTTTGGAGAACTAAGGATTTTGACTTTTTGGAGATGAAATTTCTGGAAATAGAAATGCTTCTGTCACATGATCAGTAGAGTCTGGAACATTTGATCCAGCATGGCACTCAGGTGTAACCAAAGTTAAAACTGAAGTTAGGCCTCAGGAGAGAAATTCATCAGAAAATGACTGTACTTCACAAATTTAAGGCAGATCTTTTCACCTGAGTTTCGCTGATGTTCTTCTAATGCTTGTTAGAATATTTATCTTTGCCTCCTTTGATAGATGCAGACTATTTGCTTTTTTAAGTGGGAAATCCTAAAGATTATTTATTCTAACTCTTATAGTTAGGACAGTTAAATTTTAAAGGTTAAAAGACTCATTCCTTTATTTACTGATTTCACTTAGGAAATTTACTTACCTTGATTAAACAATTTTTGGCAAATAGGAAGGGCAGTAATTGTTCTCTCCATTTTTGCTAAAGCAGTTTACTGAATGCTTTAGAATAATGCCAGGGCTCTAGATGCATATATGTGATCTGAAACATGAAATCTGGCCTTTGGTTTTGCAAATAAATAGCTGGTCCTGACTTTAACAGCTCTAGCAGTTCTAGCCTTATACTAGTGGGTTGCTGTGCAGTTATTTTCGGTAATTAAATCTTTGGCCAGATAACTTATTAAGTGTTGAATAATCCTTAGAAGAGCTTAAAGAATTCATTGAACATTAACCTGTTTTTGAAAAGGGTTCCTAGAAAGTTATATTAGAATATGAAAAAAAAGTTCTTAATTGGTCCTCTAGGTAGGATTTAATGAAATGATACATGCAAACCACTTAGCCCAATGATAGGCAGCTATTAGTATTGTATGCATAGCTAATTGAATTTCGGGGGATTTGGAGTTGGTAGGAAAATCAATTTGGTACCCTTGTCAACTGGATTTTTACTTTGTGTCAGGCACTGATTCATGTTGGGCTAGTGTCAGTGTCATCATCTTTAAAAAACATGGCTTTGGCTGGGCGCGGTGGCTCAAGCCTGTAATCCCTGCACTTTGGGAGGCCGAGGTGAGAGGATTGTGCGAGCCCATGGGTTCGAGACCAGTCTGGGGAACACGGCGAGACCTCCTCTCTACAGTAAATCAAAAAATGAGCCAGCCATGTAGCATGCGCCTGTAGTTCCGGCTACTCAGAAGGCTGAGGGGAAGAACCGCCAAAGCCCAGCAGGTGGATGCTGGGATGGCCGTGAGCATGCCACTGCACTCCAGCCTGGGCGACAGAGAGGGACTCCGCCCAAAAAAGCAAAAAATGAAAAACAAACAAAAGAAAACATGGCTTCTACTAGTGCTAGGCAACTATAAATAATAAAAGTGATCTCACCTTGGGGCATACCCTGTTGCTAAAGTTAAATTAAATCACATAGTCTTGCCATCAGAGGCCTATACCTGATTTGTTCTTTTACTTAACTACCAACCATTCTCCCATTGCTAAACCTTCTTTTAATCCAAAGATCTTTTCAGTTCCAATAGGATTAATTGGAGTGAATCCTAGGTGGGAAAATCTTTGCTCAGTTGGAATTTGGGGCTGGCTCAATCTGTGGTCCCATATGTTGTAAAAAATACATTTTTGCCCGGGCACAGTGTCTCACACCTATAATCCCAGTACTTTGGGAGACCAAGGTGAGAGAATTGCCTGAGCCCACGGGTTCGAGACCAGCCTGGGCAACTTGGCGAGACCTCGTTTCTATAATAAATTTTTAAAAAACTAGCTGGGCATGGTGGCATGTGCCTGTAGTTCCAGCTACTTGGAAGGCTGAGGAGGAGGGAGCACCAGAGCCCAGTAGGTCGATGCTGAGGTGGCCGTGAGCACTCCAGCCTGGTCGACAGAGTGAGACTTTTAACTAAAAAAATGTGTGTGTGTGTGTGTGTGTGTGTGTGTGTGTGTGTGTGTGTGTACACACATGTTTTAACATTGATGATTGAAGGAGGCTCACTATATATATATATATATATATTTTTTTTT